TCACCACTGTCACCACCACCACTTCCATCATCACCATCGCCACTGTCACCACCACCACCACCACGTCAACTCTACCTCTACCATCACCATCATCGTCAGCATCATCACTACTGTCACCACCACCTTTACCATCACCACCTCCCTCTCCATCATCACTGTCACCTTTACCACCATCATTATCACCATCACCACCTCCATCAACTATCATCACTGTCACCATCATCACCTACATCATCACCATCCCCATCAACACTGTCACCACCACTTCTACCATCATCACTGTCACCTTCACCACTATCATTATCACCATCACCACCTCCATCAACTATCATCGCTGTCACCATCACCACCATTGTCACCATCATCACCACCTACATCAGTCACCACCATCTCTACCATCACCACCTCCATCACCATCACCACAATCATCCACCCCCCCCTTGTCAGTGTCCTAGCCACACAGTCAGGAGGCGGAGGCCACAGAAGAACAGCCACCAAAGCATTAACTAGTGTTACTCTCCTTAGTGGATGAGATCAAAAGTGAAAGTGTTTTTTGTGTTTTAATGTTTTCAATGTAACATTCATTCACAGCAAAGAAGACCACAGCTTGAAGTCACAAAATTGTATCAATTCTGAAAGATCCTGAATCTCTGAAAGTAGTTTATGCTTCATGTGTCAGTCTGACTCCAGCGAATACCTCGCCCTCCTGAGTCTGTGCCAGAGTCAACAGGACGCTGGCATGGATCATGGACACCCATACGGCACGAGTCGTCCAGCCACAGTGGCTCCTGCACACCACAGGCCCATCTCCCCAGCTATTGGGGCTGCCTCGTCCAGGTCATCTCTCCCAGTCACCTCTTCATCTCGAACTTCCTACTTTCCTGTTTCCCACCCAGACTGTAAAGTCCAGGAGTGCCGGGATGGAACCTAGTTGGCTCATGTTTGAATCCACAGTGTTCAGCACTAGTAGGCGCTTAGTGTGTACTTACTTGAGTCAATACAGAATGAACCAATAGTGAGAAGCTCAAAAGGAATGGCCCAAAGGGGACAGGCTGAATGGCTGCAGAAACAACGGGTC